CAGATTAAAAATATTAATAATATATATATTTTATTTTGAAAATTCGTAGATATAAGAAATTGATGATGTGTCACTAAGTCAAAATGTAACAATCTGACATAATTAGACGATTATAATTTCATCAGAAGAACTAAGACCGCGAAACCATGTCGCTAGTGTGTTGATACACATACCATATTGGTCAATAAATTCTTAAAATGTATGTAGTATATAACTCTATTCGAGCAAGTTTTCATTAAGGAGCAAACCCGTGTTAATGAAGTGTTTAAAGTGTGAACATGGAAGAGCTTCAAGTGTTCACTTAGATATTAAACACCATACGATGGAGCAGATGGTGTGTTACTTCTAAGAAATTATGGGTAACATTGAGCGTTTACTTTTTATATGATATCCGAACAACTGATGCATGTGTTTGATAAGTTAACAAGTGTCTCTTCTGTGTTTAATACAAGGCCAATACCGTGTCTGGATCTGCGTCGCTGCATATAATTATTTGAGATGACATTGTTACGGCCAGAAATCACCTTTAACTTGTAGCCAAAAAAAGACACAAATCAAAAATAAAGTTTAACAAGATTTATTATACACAAGTTTACAAGAAATATTATACAATTTGAAATGTTAACTTAACTGTTAAATTATAAGTCCGATCCTTTGTCTTTTCTTTATCTGGATTTCTTCTCTTAACTGTACGGAATATGTCCAATCTAGTATGATGTAGTTAACGTAAATAAAGTGTCAATCCAATAACTCCAGAGAAAATATGTGAATCCAAGTAAATGAATGTCTAAACAAGTCTAATTTCGGTATCTGTATATATAGTTGTCAAGGAAACTTCTAGAACACTGTAGAATGGAAACACCTAGAAAATTATAGAACTGAAACTTCTGGAATATGGTAGAAGTTTAAATTACACATCGTATATTATATGCATTCCAGAATTATTATGTATAAGTATTAGTATGTATTATTACTTCAGATAGAAAGTTCTAATCATTCCATCAGTATTTATGATTGTTACAGTGATTTTTAAACTGCACAATTATAACATTATTTTGTAAACAACTATAAATATGATGTAAACATATTGTACATAGTACAAAGCCACACAAAAACAAATTAGGCCAAGATGAATAAACATGATAATACTAATATCATAACACCTCCCTCCTTAACTGGTTTACTCTCACCTTCATTAGTACGCTCAGAATATGGTTTTAACATATTAATATGACACACTCTATTTTATTTGCGCCGACCTTGAGTTCTCACAATATAATGTAAATCATTGATTTTACTCTCTATTGTATAAGGACCACAGTATTTAGCCGATAAAGGATATTCAGGGACTGGCAAACATACAAGTACCTTATCACCAGGCTCAAAACCTGTCCCTGGCATCTTTATCATACCATATTTTCATCTTATTTTGAACAGTTTTTAAGTTTTTCTGAGCAATTTGACAAGCAGTATACACTGTTTCTTTAAATCTAGATACATAGTCTAGCAGATTCAAGTCAGTGTGTTCAGTAAGCCATTTTTCCTGAACCAATTTAAAGGTCCCATTACAGTATGACAAAATACCAACTCAAAGGGACTAAAACCAAGGGTTTCTTGAACAGTCTCTCGGACCGCAAAAAGTAGAAAGTGAACACCATCATCACAGTCTCTGTCAAATTGAAGTCATAAGTTTTAATCATGTTCTTTAATGTTTGATGAAAACGTTTTAAGGCACCTTGAGATTCTGGATGACAAGCACTTGATCTATAATGAGCAATCCCTAACTGGTAAACGACCTGCTGAAATAAACCCGACATGAAACTTGAACCTAAATGTCCAGCCAAGAGGGTGTCATGGGTAAGACCAATAATTTCTTGCCTATAAACTTTAGTCATCTCCACTTGGTATACCACTCTTAATTCCTCATATGGGATAGCATCAGGGGCCTCCATTTCCTCACTAAAATGCCGTCCTGGTGGTAAAAGAATGTGGCCACTTCGTATGCTTCCTCCTGTGGTTGAGCCCTCTTGCTGAGCTGAAGAACCTAAGGGTCTTTATTTTGTTCTTCCACAAATTTTCTTCTGGCTATAAATGGCTGTTCACTTCTGGCCATTGCATAATTACATGTTTGTTAGTAATAGGTGGTCTTATCATGGAATTTTTCTGAGCCAAAGGAACCGTCAATGTCGGCAAGGAAAGTGTCAGAAAGGTCCATATAATCATACTGGTCTTCTTGCAAATCTTCATTTTGTTGTTTTCTTGCCAGCGCCCTAGTAACAACACAGGCTGGATACAGTTCAGCATCATCCTCAGGTGATTTTAACACCCACAACCGGTTCACTGGTAACAATTGGCTCAGCAACCACTTTGTTCCTAGATAGATCTTTCCTAGCAATAAGGGTGATTAGGACGAACACTCACAGGACCAGTAATTAAATCTGACTTCAGATAAGTACGTTAGAAGGGAACATCTATACAACTTAACTCCACACGCTGTAACAAAACGGAGGCAGCAAAAGACGTTTCCTTGGACAAAGGCAGCACACCTTCAAATAACAAAGTCTGAGAAGCTCTAGTGTTCCATAAAATCTTAATGGGCTGAGGAGTAGCATTATCAACAATAGAAACAAACCCATCAGACATAAAGGGTTTACAATTTTCCATGTAATCACAAAAACTCGACTTAAAAGCCTGACTCGCAGGACATTCCAACTTATAGGTAACAAGGGGTGTCTTACAAGCACTGGATTTGGGTTTATTATCTCTTTCATTCTTCTTCTAGAGTTTAAAACAATCAGCCTTCAAGTGACCATTTTTCTTACAATAAGCACAAGTTGTGACTTCTTCTCAAAAGTATAACATTTTGGACTAGACATATTATTACTGGATTGACTCTTATTCTGTGCAACAGGCTTATTATCAGTACGCTTAGTGCTATGATTTTTGTAAATTCCGCTCGAAGTATTAAAATTTTGACCTTTGAAACTTTTTGTATGTGAAAGGGTATAATTATCGGAAATACCAGCTGCATCTTGGAATGCCTCAACAGTTTTGTCATCTAAATGTGTTTTTAAGTCTTAATGAACACACTGCTTGAACTCTTTTAATAACATCAATTGTCTTATATTATCAAAATTGTTATATAATTTCTTTGACGTTTGAATCAACCTTTTGATAAGACCTAAATTTCTGTCTATATGCTTCTGGTACTAGCTTATAAGCTTTCAAAACTTCCTGTTGTACAGTGTCATAATCAGAACTTTTTTCTGATGAAAGTGCTGAGTAAATTTCAGCAGCCTTGCCCTCCTAAAACATTTTGCAGCATTGAAGTCCAATAAGGCTTTGGCCATTTCAAATTTTGAGCAATTTTCTCAAACTGTGGAAAATATTTATCAACTGTTTTTTTTCAAAAAGTCTGGAAACCAAACGTACATTTTATGCTGCATCAAAATATTCTGATTTTGACTCTTCATTAGTGTTGCTTTCTACTTTGACCATTTCAATTTTTATTTTCTCCATATCTAACCTTTCCCTCATTTTAAGTTCTGCCTGTTTTAATTTAAATTCATCTTTTTTTTTTCTTCTAATTGTTTTATTTTAACTTCGTTTTCCATTCTTTTTTTCCAATTGTTTTAATCTAAATTCATGTTCAATGCAAGCTGTCTAAATTTAAAAACATAAACATTTTCTACTTCAAGTTCAAGAGCCTCTGTATCTAGAATTTCAGCGTCAACTTATTCGTTTAGTACCAAATTTTTCATAATTGGTTTTCTCATGGATACTCTAAAATCAATTTTTAGATGTTTAGCAAGCAACACTAATTACTCATTCTTTAAGTTATCAAACCCTTACATGTCTGGCGATTTCAAAAATTTACCGGCATCAAATGCCATTTTGTAGAATTGTGTTAGCTAATTCTAATTCTATAAATTCAGAAAATTTTAATCTGATATTAACGTTTTCCCGTATGAGCCTCCGATTTCTGTTACGGCCAGAAATCACCTTTAACTTGTAGCCAACTAATGACACAAATCAATAATTACATTTAGCAAGATTTAGTATACACAAATTTACAAGAGATATTATACAAATTGAAATGTTAAGTTAACTGTTAAATTATATGTCGAATCGTTTGTCTGTACTTTATCCGGAATTCTTCTCTTATCTGTAGGGAATATGTCCATTCTAGTATGATGTAGTTAACGTACATAAAGTGCCAATGCAACAACTTCAGAGAACTATCGTGAATCCAAGTAAATTTATGTCTAAAAAAGTCAGGTTCGGTGTCTGTATATGTAGTCGTCACGGAATCTTCTAGAACACTGTAAAAGGGAAACTCCTAGAAAACTTTAGAACGGAAACACCGATATACGGTAGAATTCAAGTTACACATCGTTTATTATAATCATTTTAGAATACCGTGAGTATTCATGATTTCTAAACTGCACAATTATAACATTATTGTGTAAACAACTAGTAATATGATGTTAGCATATTATACGTAATATAAGGCCACACAAAACAAATTAGGCCAATATAAATAAACATGTCATAACAACATGTATACTGAAACATAATTAGTCATTCCTTTCAATCAAGCCAAGTAAACTTTTACGAACATTTTCATTGTACAATCAGAGCTGTAATATTTTTAACTATTGGCAAACAGAAAGTCGCCACAACTTAACATTATCAATCTGCACACCAAATATGAAATACTTTCCTTTCAACGAAGCCGTGAAAACTTTGACGAAAGTTTTCTATCAAAGGCATGACGATGTGGCCGAAACATGTAAAACATTGAAAACAACACGTTTAATATTGTCATGCGTCCGAAGCGCTTTTCTGGATTTACCCTCATCAGGAACGCTCAAAGCCAAACATTTGAACTCCGAGGGATATACAAGCACCAAAACGGTTGAAGATAAACGTTAAAACACTTTCTAGTCAAACCAGCTGCAAATGTATTTCATGATTTCGAAAGACTAATCATTTAGAAATAATCATTACATTTTATAAAACAAGAAAACTAACATGCATATACATATAAATATTTATAGTAGTCCCGCGCGTTAAATATAATACAATTTCAATCTACATGTTTACTAGTTTAATGACAGAAACAACGTATACATCAAATATATGTATGATAATTGAATTCACATTAAGAAATACATTGTAAGGTTATAGACATATTGTGTACAATTTTAATAACAACTTGAAGTACTATAAAAGTCTACAATATTGATTTGCCTCTAATCAATTGCTTCAAGACTATTCCGACAATATAAAATGCTTTTTCAATACGTTAAGTTCTATAATAACATTATCGGTAGGATAAATAGAAAAGTGAAATCAATTTGAATGAGTAACGGACATTAGGATATAAATTGTAGTTATATTACACTTGATTGGTTAGAAGTGTAGCTAATTATTTTGAATTTGATATAATACTCAGTCATGAGAGAGCATTTAATAATTATCTGACATAAGACAATATCAAAGTATGAATGATTCGTGTGATGCAACACGTACGACATAACTCTTTTGTGGTTGAAACAGATTTTAGGAAAAACAATGTAAAGTTTCTATTTTGATGTATCAGAAACATATATATTTTAAACATAAAACGTGCATGCAAATAAGACAAGGAAACTATATATTCAGATTGTTTAATATTGTTTTTGCATCGGAAGGAAGTGTTTTCCATCATTTCGTAGTTTCGCTAACGTTTATTACTGGCTGTCACTTTTGTCTTATGAAATCCATCAATCTGAAGAAATAAATGCAATGGTTGTGTTTGTTTAACTAACAATTATACAGCATACATGTTTACAAGTGATGCTATAAATTTGTTTATCCTTCTTAAAACGCATTGAAAATTCACACTTAGTTCGTAAACGATATAAGTAAAGGTTTGCTTAAATGTTCGCAGTTTTGTTGTCCACAACATTTACTTCCATATTTTTAGTTTTTAGATAACAAACTAGTCTATCGCTGTGTTGGTGTCCTTGGGCTGTTTTCTGCTCTTTGGTTGGATTGTTGTCTCTTTGACAAATTCCCCATTTCCATTCTCAATTCTCAATATTATAATATACTGAACAACTCCTTAAGGACTGTTATTGGTTCATTTTTTTTATCTTGTATTTAGGCACGATTTGACGCAATAAATAGTGTGAACTGATGTTGTTTATGTCCAGTTTAGGGAACAACAGTCATACAAGTCGTGTTAACATTTCAACAAGAACTGCATCTCCCCTTTGTAAAAGTGTACTATTGATTCTCTATTAACAAACAGTATATACTAACTCTGTATTTTGATAAATATATATAGTCACGTTATTTGTTGAAATTATCTGTATATGATGAGTATGTATCCGGTCTATAAGAGTACCAATCTTTTCAAATGGAACCGATTTATGTCAGAGACGACCATACCACTTAACTAAATAAATAGTGTCCTTCATAAGAAGCAACTTGCAAACGTAAGTTACGTTATCTCTTTACAAAAACAAGTTTAAAAGATAATACCGCAGAAAACTGCAATTTTGTGCATATCCTTATCGATCAGTTAGTAAATAGATGTATTGTACTTTTTCATGTAAATTTTAAGTATGAAACAAATTAATCGAAAATAAACATGTTATACTACGTGTATAGCTATCAATTATACATTTTTGTATTATCATTATATGTACTTCTTTTGATGACTAATTCATATAATGTACATCCGCGCCATCGAAGTAAAATATAAATCGTAAGCTGTATCTTCAATACTTACTTTCCACAGGTACAGCTACAATGAGAACATATTATATCATCGTCGGACTTTTGTCAAAATTTATTTACCTATCGGACCTAACAGTGTAAGTTCTATAGTTTGAAACGGTTCACATATTGTCTTTTTGGGATTTTGTTTAGCTTACTTAATATACGGTATTTGTATTTCTCACTATTGCAAAAGCCTGTAATGTGACTTATTGCAACTACCATCAACATAATTTACTCTATATTGGGTAGCTGTCTTATTGGCAATTCTACCACATTTTGTAATGTTAATCCTATTGGCTAATAGATTAATGACTGAACACATAATTTATCAAATGAAAGTATTCAAGTTTTTTTTTTTATTTTTTTATAAGCAAAATAACAGACTGAGTGTTATTTATGCATCTTGATAACAATTTTCAAACATTGCAACTATCACCTTTTTCCACTTTTATAAGACGACTGCCATTTGTCATATGATTCCTATGACAACAAATGCTCAAAATTTTTAGTTTTATTTTTGGATTTGGTACTTGACAGTTACCGACTAAAGTTAAATAATACATATATTTGAAACAGTAATGGTATGATATATATATATTAAATCACATAAAAGCCAACACATGTTGTTTTTTTGTAATTCTAAAACTATGTTTTAAAAACATATGACGTCATACATTTATTATTAATCGGAAACGACATTGAATGGCGACAATTAATCAAATAACCAGGAACACTGGTTTACAGCATAGTATGTACATATCGGGAATTGATACATTGCTTGGACATATAGATATATAACATGAAAGGAATAATGAGAAAGTAGACACAACATAAAAAATATTGTTACAATTTAGACATATTGTCACCTTTTTGCAGAAATACGGACATACTTAACATATACGATATTTGGAGAACTTGGAATATCGTTACGCAATTAGATCGTGTTGCAACCTGCATAGTTAAGTACATTATTCAAGTGTCAAAGACTATTGTCATGTTATAAATTGCAATATAATTGTAAACTATACTTATCTGGAGCCATATAGAAGCCACCGTAGTATAAGTATTATAGAAGCAACCTCAGGATAAATAGTAAAGTGATAGTAGAACTGACAGCTTTTTGTTGAATGTTATAGTCAGTAATCATGTCAAAAATTAAATTTTTGTGTGAATAATATTTTATAATAACAAACATATAATGTTTTCTGAAGCACTGGTTAAACTTCAGTCTTCTATTGCCTGACTTGTCTTACTGTCATAACAAATAACAAATGCAACTAGAAAACAGGTTTGTTCTTTTATCAATCAAAAAATTATGTGAGTGATAATTAGTTAACTGTGCATATCAAAGGTTATAAAACTTTCAAACATTGTCCGTTTACAGATACATGTACAACATTTTAAACCTGATCTCTTTAATAAGTTTCTATACTGTTTTATGGAATACTCTGTTACTACTGGCAGTGTATTTATCAGGTTATTAAGTCGTAATGATTTACCTACACAACGTTTAAATCAATTTGTAGGCATTTTGTCCAAAAAAAGTAATCAATCTTTTTGTTTCAATAAATTATTCGTTGGGTTAAAGACATTTATAACATTTAGATTTGTAAACGTAACAAATGTTATATTGAACATAATCAAGAAAGTATTTAATACTTGAAATATTTTGTTTTAAAGATACTAGAGAGAAACAATGTGTTGTTACAGATATTTATAGACAACAATACGAATTGTATTGTCAATTTGTTCACGTTTGAATTTAGACTGCTTAGCATTTCGTTAAAAATGATACTGACTAAAATATCGTATTACTTCGAATATACGAATGGATTTTGTTACTTCTATATAATTGCGTCTTTATTAATTAGAACTGTTTTTGAATTGTCCAATTTCAATAAAGCACCATACACAACATTCACTATCAATTGCTCCATGTGCTCTTTCATTCTTCTTTTTTGTAAAATAATCGTAATATACTTATTTTTTTTGGTAAATAACACTTACACTGGACTGAAAAATAAAAAAAAATAAAAAAATACAAGTTTAAAATCTGAGGAATAATTTAAGACATTCACGATACAGCAAATACTCATCTCAAAAACATCAGTTTATTGTTTTGAAGTGTTTGGTTTTCTTAACTATAAACTGTGTTTTTCTTGAATGTGGTAGCTATTCAAACGAAGTATAGATATAAAAAATGACAAACCAATTGGTGAATACGAATATCTATATCCATAAAATAGTTATAAAGTCATCATCTTCTCTTTTAGAGTTTATAAAAATCACGATAGCATCAATTTTGTCTATAGGTGTTTTGTATCTATGGTGTCCAGTAGTAAATTATATACCAATCATAGTAGAAAAAAAAATGAAATGTATATTATGAAAATACTAGCATAATGATAATGTGATGTTCTTTTGCTGACCACCTATTGATGAGTAGTAACTGCATAATCAGTAGTATATACATGGTGTGTAGCACAACATTCTATTTTTTGAAAAGCAAGAAATGATAGGTATAATCAAAAAGAATAAACAAGACTAAACATAAAGTCAGAATTTGGACATCGGTTAACTACTGTCTCCCTAATACAAACATAAGGACATACCAAGATGTGACACTAGGAAACAATTGGATATTTTCACGTAATTAGCATATCCAGTGGCTGCATGAATAATCACATGATTCAAGCTTTATAAACTATTAATCGCCTGTCATAATCAAGTCATATTATTTCATAATGTACTCTCATATTTCAATACTTGAAAACAATATTCTAAAAATAAAATTTCTTATAATCTTTCCAAAAGGGTTGTTTTAAAGAAAAGCAGATAATAGTGTTTTACCAACCCATATTTAAATACTTTTTTCGATTATTTCTCTCTTACAATGGAATGTTTATTGTTTTACTTTACTACACTACGTTCACCATTATATAAATATTGTTATATTATAAATTGCATATATAATTGTACGCTATACTTATCTGTTTGCTACTTGACACTTACTTTCTAAAAAATTCAAATAAATATTCATAGAATACAGCATACCATTTAGCAATGACTTATTACAACGAAAGTCTGTCAGATTTTTCAATAGTAAAGTCATTAGTCATGCTAAATATTGAAATGTGATATTTGTATGATTTCAAAGTGTCGCTTTATAAACTTAGAAATTATAAAGAAACTTAGGTTTTAACACCCTCAAGTAATGTTGACGTTTAGTTGATATAATTATTTTCGTGTATGTTCTCTATGGTCATATACTTGAACTATGTTGATTATTATACGTCCTTTGATTTAAACAGTTCTGCTTTGAGCGTTTCCCGTAAAGGTAAATTTAGAAAACAGCACATGAAATCAATCCCGTTTTTTTTTTGTTTTTTGTAAACTATTGTTTGTCGCTTTGTCTGTTAAGATTATGCCATGGCGCTGTCAGTTTATGTTCGACTAATTAATTTGAATGTCTGTTTGGTATTTCCGCCTTTTTTTTGTAGACGGAACGCGCTTCTATCACACATCATTTTCATGGTATTTTTATTGGTTTACTTTACTATTCTACTAACACCATTGTGTAAATATCGTTATATTATGAATTGCATAGATAATTGTACGCTATACTTATCTGTTTGCTACTTGACACTTACAAGCTGAAAAAATCAAATAAATATTCATAAAATACAGCATACTATTAAGTAATGAATTATAGAAACGACAATGAAATTAATTTAATAAGTAGTAAAGTGAACATGTTAAGATGACAGCTTGTTCTTTCAGGTTATTGAATTAGTATTGTCATTAATCATGCTACAAATTGAAATGTGATATTTGTATGATTTCAAAGTTTCGCTTACTAGATTTAGAAATCAATAAAACACTTAGGTTTTAACAAATACAGTTAACCTTATGTTGATTTAACCAGTTTTGTTTATATAAAAAATAAGGAGATGTGGTATGATAGCCAATGAGATAGCTATCCACCTAAGTTCAAATGAAATGAATGTAAGCAATTATAGGCAACCGTAGAGCCTTCAAAAACGAGAAAAACCCATACCGTATGGTCGGCTATTAAAGAGCCCGACATTAACAATATGTAGCAATTTAATTGAGAAAACTAACTGCTAATTTATAACATAACAATTTACGATAAACAAATATAACAGACATGAACCAACGACAACTATTGAACTACGGGTTCTCTATGGTCACATACTTCAACTGTTTCGGTTATCATAAATCCTTGGCTTGAAACATTTCTGGTTTAAACGCTTTCAATGAAGGTAAATCATCAACAAACAGTACATAAAATCACATCCGTTTTTGTGTGTTTTGTATACTGTGTGGTGTCTTTTTGTCAGTTTATTTTCTACCTTTGAGTTTGACTGTCTCTTTGGTATCTTCCGCCTCTTTGGTAGACGAAAGGTGCGTTTGGCATACATAATTTGTATCCTGGTATATTTTTTATATTGTTTTATGGTATAATATATTACTACTGGCAGTGCATGTTTAATTCAATTTAGAATGAATCGATTCGGAAGCATTTAGTCTATACAAATTAAACGATTTTGTTTTCTAACTACATAATCATTGAATTTTGGATACTTATTAAGTTTCGGTTTGTTAAAAAAAAAAAATTACATTGAATGTTTTTATGATTGAATTTATCATTTTAACCATGCGTGTTATAGAAGAGAGAAACATGTTGCAAACATCTTTGAAAAACCCCATATGAATTTGTATTGTTCAATTGTTTCCGTTTGAATTTAAATTACTTAGATCATTTTAAAGTATAATACTGATACCTAATTGACCAATATTTTACGTTATTTTGACTAATCTTATTCCATCACTTTATCATCCCGTTTGGTACGGTATTAGGAAACCTTCTTTTCATAAAGAACGAATGTGGTGAACAGCATTCGATTACATTCTAGTTGATAAACAAACATAACAAAAATGGAAAATGCTAGAAATGTGACATTCATTAACAAAAGTGAAGAACCTCATGCAAAACACGTGTATTAAAGATACAATGCACATACTTGTGAAACCTCAGCTGTGTGTTTCTTCTTAAAAAAATTGACGCTCGAATAAAATAAAGTTGAAAGATTAAATACAGTTGGAAAACATTGAGGACTTACAATCTGAACAGTTTTGCAAAATACAGCTTATCAAAGACCTTCAATTTTGGTATTGTAAGTTATTGATAAGTAGAATGTTTGCTCACTTACTAATGCTGAGTTTACAATTACGAACATATTAGATATAAAAAGAAAATGAAATGAAATTTTACCAACGTACACAAAACTATAGGACTTACAACCCTATGAGTTACTGTTTCAACAATCAGTCAGCAGTCATCGATCAGTCAAGTTCACGCTAAACTCTCGTCATCAATCCATCAGACTAATAGCGAAAATCTTTAACTGATCGGACCGATTTACCTTTCTGACGTTTTGAACTCTACTAGGTCACATAATGAAATTTTCCAAATTAAAACGGAAAAAAAATAAGAAGCCCGACAAGTTAAAACTAATCACTCAGCAAAGTTTTCACATCTACCATGTTACGTTTGTTAATAGTGAGGTGAAATATGCTGATAGAACTAAAATTTCAATTTAAAAAAAAAATGCGATTGTAGTTAATATAATGGCATTTTTTCATCAAACACGACGAGTCCTAAAAACCTTGTTTATTGCTATTGCTAAAATCTACTATATTTTCCGAAATGCTCTCAAAAATCAAACAAACAAATATTGCAAATTTCGGTGCATGATTTTAATGAATTAAAGAAATATGCAAAGGGGACACTATAAAAAATGCAAACAAAATATAAAGTATGTTTTCTCTTACATTCATCATCTTTTATGAAGAACAACCAATCCTGATGTGCAAAAATAATTATATGGTTGATGATTTCCATTACAATATAATAAAATGAAGAACTAATTGTATTTGGATTTAACACAAAAATGTTAAGGTATTTATATCCATATACTACTCACATTTGTACTAAAATCAAATGGTAGGTCATGATTTACATTACGATAAAGACATAAT